CTTTATACAAAGTGAGCCATTCTCTTCTGAAATCTATCATTTGCTGTGAGAGAATGTATTTATAGTGATGGTATGGCTGCCAGGGATTTTTGCATTTCATAGACTAGCCTTTCATCATAGAATCTGTGCACTTGCTATGACTTCCATACGTAAGTGCAGTACGTATTTTAAAGGGGCGTGCAGTCAGCTTTTGGTATTGTATGTAGTAATAAAGCTGAAAAGATTTTTTTTAAACCCTGATATTATGCTTTTATTTAAAAACAAATGCCTAAGTATCCATACATTACTGATTTTATTCTATTAGCAACAATTCCCCTGTGTTATACTGGAGCTAATATGCCTTTCTCATCAAAAACTAAAATACATAGATCTTACTTTTTCTATTAAAAGTATTTGATTTTTCACTTAACTGTATCAGAAGGATAGTGGAGAGAAAACAAGTGAGAATTGAAATGAAGAATACCAAACATCAGATAGTAGCTTAAATCTCTCCTTTTTCCTTCTTGTAGCATCCTGCAAAAATACAAATCAATATCATAAAAAATGTGTAATGGCTCAATAGTCCAAACAAAATATTACACCTGATTGCACTTTGAAATACATATTAAAAATTTAAGTAACCATTATCTTTTAGGCAAAAGAGAGTGATTTGGGCTCATTCACCTCAGCAGACCTGAAGGAAATGTCGTCTCATCAGTTGATTGAGTTCTTGGCATTGTTGCTTCTGGAGGTAAATGCACACCTGAGGTTGCTTTATTCTGGTATCACAAAAGCAGGCACAGAGTCCAAGTGTGCTTTGGAATTAAATTGTCCGTTTTCTTTTAAGTTTTGCTAAAATAATCCACTTTTGCCATACATAGTTACTAAAACCTTCAGCTGTGCCTCCCTGATTATGTCTGGCTCTTCAGCTAACAAGCAACATACAGAATATTTTGGATTGAAAAGTAAAAACAAAACTATAAGGTGCTTGAATTTGTCTGTGTTCGATGTTATAGCGAATAAGCTGTAAGTACAACAGAATATTGTGGTTTGAGTGTTTCAGTAGTACTGGATGTGGGAATTTGCTAAGGTTTATTCTTTGCCCTTCCCTAATACAATGAGAAGGTGAAAGGAACAAATACAAATATTTGTTATAGTAAGCTTTTAGTTCCCTTGTAACATCAGTCTTCTTGGATGAACCTGTTTATTTTTTAAATATGTGGCTTGAAGTGTGCTTCGGGCTTATTCTGACTATGCAATTTCCTTTTTCAGCCTCCTCTTCCAGTGTCACATGTCCAGCGAATGCAGCAAGTATATGACTTCAATGCCATAAAAAATTCTGAGATAAGATTCAGGTTTGTTCTAGTATGGGCATTTTTCTGATCTTAAGTGCTTTCGTTAAACAAAGTGTCCTGCTTCATATATGGTCTGAGATGTACTGTTTTACAGAACTAGTGCAGGTTTTTTGGGAGTGTTTTATTGTTGTAGGCTTTTTTGTAAGTGCATGTGCAGACATGCTTACTAGAGTGGTATTCTGTTGAGTAAATATAGTGTAGTAGAAGAACTGGAAGTGAGCAGTGGATTAGCTGTGCTTTATTTTCATCTGTCATGTTAGCAAAGGAACCTAACTACTTATTTTGGGGATGGTATTGGGTAATACAACAGGGAGCCTCTCTGTGAATCAGAGATGCCTGAAAGATCTTTCCAATATTCAGTCAGGACTGGGTCTCTGGCCTTACCTAGTAAGTTCTTCTGCTGATATGCCAGTGGTGTGTTGAAAAAAAAACCATAACACAACTTGAAACTTTTTTGTCACATTTCAATGCTCCCTATCACGTACCTTTTGTCACATCAGAAAAGAACAGTACATGTCAAAGGAAGTTTCTAATCACGTAGGAAATGCTCCTAGCTAAATGGCTTGATTCTTCTGCCGTCCTAATCTCTTCTATTTTGTATTTACACATTGTGTTCACACACCATGTTAAAAAAAGCTATTGTTGAGGACATAAGTAATCTTTACAAGGATCTTGAAGTATTGCATGTTTTGCTACTTCTGCATACTTGGATACATTTGCAATAGTCACGATTATTCTGCCTTAGCTATCTTAGACTATTGCATGACTTCTGCCTTAACTAACTTGGAGTTCTTTGTTTCTTATGAAAAAAACCCTCTAGGTGTTTGAAATATACAGTATAGATTCTACTTCTTGTAACAAGAACAATTTCTTAATAGTTTTAAAGCAAAACAAGCACATGCCAGTTGCTGGTGAAATTTTGTTTGGGGGTTTTCTTACGGTTTTTTTTTTAGTCACTCGGTCAAATATTCAGCTCTAACTCTGAGTGATGCAACTGGACACCACTGTAATATAGAAGAAAGAGCTGCAGGAAATGATCAGACCATTTTGGAGAAACTCTGAAGGAATTTTTCCTTATTTTGTAGAAAAGCCTGCTTCTGTAACATGCCAGTCAGACACTGAATATTTTATGTTGAACTTGGCTAGAATCTCATTCCCATGATGACATAGCACTGCCCAGAGTGTTTATGGGAACAGAATCTTAAGATAACCACTGCAAATGAAAATTCTGCAAAGTGTAAGGGTTTTTTTAATTTTTTTCTTTCTCAGATGGCTGAGGCTCTGCATCAAGTCCAAGTGGGAAGAAGCTATTCCTCTGGCTCTGCAAATGGCAACAGATCAGGGCAGGATGAAGTTTACTCGACCCTTGTTCAGGTAAAAGCAGTCTTCAAATTGTAGAAGCTCATGCTGTCGGTATTTTTAGTATAATGGAATACTTGACATTGTACATGTGTATTATGCTTCAAAGTGATACAGTACAGAATTTTTTGTGTACTGTGAACAAGCTTATTTTTAGAGTCACTTTCCACATGCTGACTTTTTTTAGTAGAAGGCGGCTTAAGTGTTGCAATATGTGCCTTGATGTGAAGCTTTCAAAGGAAAAGTAAAACCTTGAGAAAATCCCCTTTGTACTATTTCCCTAGATTCTTGTAATGGGGCCTTTCTTTCCTTTTTTCTCCTCCTTTTACAGGGACCTCTACAATTTTGACAAGTGTCGAGATCTGGCTGTCAAGACATTTCTGGAGCATAGAGCCTCTATGCACCCAGTCACTTCAATGCTTGTGGGCAAAGACTTGAAGCAGGATCAGTGACAAATTTACTGATTTCTTTGACATTTTCGTGCTGCTGGAAGAGGAGGCTGATTCCACAAACCGTTGATACATGTACTTGATTACACCATGGAATGCTCTGCTGCTTTGGTACTAATTTAGCTTAAAATGAACTTTACAAATCAAGTTCAGTATTTCCTATTTTGCATTTCCAAGTAAAACAGCCAAATTGCTAAATCTCTGTATCTGGGAGAATGATTTTGTTACAAGCAATTTTTAGAACACACAGGAAAGCTGTTCTGAGATGTAGTCATTTATCAGTCATGGAATTTAAAAACATGGAAAACTAATTGGTGAGTGGTATGGCTCTTTGTGCACAGCTTTCTTTTTCATAGCAACGTGCTTGAAGACTAAAAAATAAATCTTTTCATTGTCTACTTGTCTGTGTATTGATCTGTACAAAGTCTTCAAATAATGGTTTTATTTGCTCTTCTGTATTGAGGGAGAAATTTTTATTACAGGCCCAAGAGGACTCTGAAGATGCAAATGGATTTCAACCCACTGTATAGAAGGGTTTAAAGCCCAAGTCTTTCCTTCCCCTGTTTGAACTTTTTAATAGTTGCATTTTTAAGCAGTTCTGGGCAGTTCCCCTTATGTTAATATCACAACTTAGAGATAAGTTTAAAAACAGTCAGAGGCACCATTTTCCTTATAATTGTTACAGCACTGCAGTTCATGTGGATGGTTTAGGTGAAGTTGTTGTGAATGCTGCCATCTGTAGATTGGTTTTTGAAGTGAGTTTGGCAAGAACTACTTTTCCTGAAGATGATCTGTAAGCATATGTTGAACATAGACATAACCCCATATCATGGAGTAAAAATCATTTTGAAAAAGTGCTGTTTCAGAAAGGAAGATACCAAAACATAGGGTGTGGCACAAGTCTTGGGCTTAATAATTTAGGGTTGGTTATTTAATAATTTAGGATTAATTACTCCCACTTAAGGTGGGAGTGGAGAGCCTATCAACTGATCTATTTCTGTTCTGAGTTTTGATCAGTGTAAGTTTTCAAGCAGATGAAGTTATGTACTTTACCAGGAGATCAATCTTTTCACGCTGAGAGCTCTAATATAAATTAAGACACAAAGAGGTTTGTTGGATTCTATTAATTCAAGGCATCCTGAGCTCTTCCATCCAACTTTAACCTATGTATGTAGTTTAAATAAAAATGATTCAAAAAATTAACTGCTAGCTGAATGAGGCTCAAAAGTGAGTTTATATACAATACAATAGTATGTTTTTGAGCTTCAGCATGGGACTGAGCAAATGGCTTGCTTCCTCTACTGCCTGCTTTTATCATGCACTAGATAGAGGTGTAAAAGTAGTGTAATCCATTTTCATTCCAATCCTAGCAGCCATGACAAACCCATAATAACAGGGTGACTTTTCCAGCACTGTCCATCATGGAGGTTTTCATCAGTGTGACCTACTGCCAGGTGCCAACTCTGTTAACTCCTGTTAAACTCTTAAGTTTTTAGAACAGTTGCATTCCAGCTTAGTCTAATTTATTTATCTATTCTTGGTACACAAGATCCAGCTCCTGGATTTTCATTTCTATAATCCTGATGTGATCTTTGGAAGAAAAAAAAAAAAAGTCCTGTGTCAATAGTTTGGGGGGCTTGCCTTTCCATGAAAAGGGAGTTCTCCCTGGGATTGGTTTGATTGGACAAAGTCAGTTGAATACATCGATCTCACTTATTTACAAAGGCGGGGATTTTGAGGGTGGATTTTTGTCTCTCTCTGATTGCGACACTGAGCTCCAGCTAGAAGCTGCTTTTCAGGCCATCGCGTGGTAAATGTAAGGCTGCTGCACGCTGCAGCCCTTCTTGGTCAAGGGACGGTTTTGGAGAGAAAGCATGCCGAGATACACGGTGCATGTCCGAGGAGAATGGCTGGCAGTGCCATGCCAAAGCAGCACCAACACAGTTGGGTGGCTGGGAAAGGAAGCTGTGAGACGGTACATGAAGAACAAACCAGACAACGGGGGATTTGCCTCGGTGGAAGAAGTAAAATTTTACGTTCGAAGGTGCAAGGGACTTGGCTTGCTGGATCTTGAAGATACAGTGGAGGATGCTCTGGAGGACAATGAATTTGTTGAAGTTGGTAAGCAAAGCATAAAGCAACACGTTGCAGAATGACCATGTTGACATCTGTGTCTGCAAACTCTGTCTCAGTTTATCTAAAATTACATCTGAGCATCTATGAGTTTCATGGAAAAATGCCAAAATGTTTTAAGAGTATCGTTTTTAGGAAAAGAGCTATATAAAGCTTAGAAGATACAGGATTCGAGATGCAACACCTGCATGTCATGTCATATATAAAGTGTGCTTGGGTTAGGCTGTTCTGCTTTTGCCTTTAGAGTACCTTAAACGAATACATACTTCCTTGCTATTTTCCTAGAAGCATACAGATATGTTCAGGGCTGATATGGCTGTAAGAGTTCTAATTTGCAGTTGTATTATAATGAATAAAAAATTACTTTATATGTAGAATGCAATTTAATTCCACTTGTGTTTATTCTGCATATTTCTCCTAGTTATAGAAGGAGATATAATGTCTCCAGATTTTATACCATCTCAGCCAGAAGGAGTTCATTTGTATCCTTTTTTGAGTGCGATGTGAACTACTTACAATTCCAGATGTAGAATTCGCTAGATTTCCCTGTTCTTTTAGAGTTCCTTCATTCTTAAAACACATTACCAGCTGTAATCAAATGGTCACTATGCGTGCAATCTGTTCTGCCCTTTATTTTCCTTTACGGAACTTTCAGATACAGCAAATACCGAGAACCAGAACAGGTAGGAAATACCAGTTGTTTTACAGCTCTGTAACAAATCCTGCTACTTACCAAAACGTGCTGAGAGTTGAGCCACTGAAGCATTCACAAGTGCAGGGGCTGTTAGATTGGCTGGGCCTAGGAAATTCAATTATAATGTGCTTATTCTGTTTCTGTTAGTGAGTTTCTGTCTTACAAATAAGCATGAGAAACCTTCCTTTCATTGCTGAGTTTTAACTGTATTTGTTTTAATTCTGATTATTAAGATACTTTATACATATCCCAAACTAAAAGGTGGTTCTTTGGTGTAGTATATTTTTTTAGATGGCAACAGTTTAACAACGGAGGACTTGGTCAATTTAGGAAAGGGGCTCTTCAAGATCAAGGTAAAGATTCTGAATAAATGTGGCTAAAAATAACGTGTTTATCTTTTTATAACTTAAATAATGACAGATAAACTAATATTTAAACTACTCATGTTTCATAGCTCACACCTGAAGCTGAAGCCAAAGTCAATGAATCACGAGAAGTGATTGAAAGGATCGTAAAGGAACAGAAAGGTAAATATTTTTAGCTCTAACTATTAATTGTTCAGAAATCTTAATCAGGTTCCCTTCTTAACCAGCAGCATATGTTTCTTGCAGTTGTTTATGGAATCACCACAGGGTTTGGGAAGTTTGCCAGGACAGTCATCCCAAACAGTAAGCTGAGGTAAGTTGTTTGTACAGCTTGCTCCATCCTTTCAGGAAAGGAAGAAGAAGGAGCAGTTCGACACTGCACATTTATATTCTGTGGTTAGATGAGAGGGCTGCTTCAGTATTTCCCTCTCTTCTGTGCAAAATAAACCCTGATGAGACTTATTTGGGGTTTTACTTTTTTCTCTTTTTTTGTCCATAGGGAGCTTCAAGTGAACTTGGTTCGTTCACATTCAGCAGGTAATGAGAAATCGCCTCATGTTTCCCTTTTCTGCCACTGTTAGTAGTGGGTTAGTAACCAAGAGGGTTTCTCTTTCAGGTGTGGGGAAACCTTTGAGCCCAGAGAGATCTCGCATGCTGCTGGCGCTGAGAATCAACGTCTTGGCAAAAGGATACAGTGGAATATCCCTAGAAACGCTCCAGCAAGTTATTGAAGCATTTAATGGTAAAAACATGTTTAAATAAATTCCCCCTTTCCTTTCTTTCTTTTTTTCTTTTGGTGTTTTGTTTGTTTGTTTTAACTGTTTCATTAAAGGATGTAGCTCAGTGAATCAACTTGGTAGTTGTGAGAGGTCAGGACCAGAGCTTGGCTTTACAAGCTCACAACTTAGGGTATGAGAATAACTGACAGGAAAGGCTGAGAGAAAGGGATGAAATTCAATAGGCGGAAGTTTAGGAAATGAGCCTCTGTAGGTCAGGTAATTAGTTCAATACTAAGCTTAACTAGGAGCATGACTCTGATTCTGGGTGAGCTCTTCCTCAAAGGCTCAAGTCTAACTTCCTGTTGGGTATGTGCTGATGTATGACACCATCTTTAGGGATGCTGGAATTTTGGAGAGGGAGGTACCTATTACCATGTAGAGAACTACATGTGTTGGTGTTCATCAAGCAGATCCACTTGAGCAGCACCTGTTTTTGTGAGTCGACCCCCTGACACCTACACAAGTGTTTGTAATCAAGGGCTACAAGGCAGCCATGCAGAAGTGCGTGGCTAGTCAGCAGCTCATGTGGCCACAACTGTCAAAGCAGTTAAAGCTGCTTTGGCACAGACACTGTGGCAGGGAAGCCAAAGGGGTGGCTGTGCTGTTCATTAGCTGATGACCATTTTCCCTGGTGAGGCATGCCAGTGTGGCAGCAAGAGGAAAGAGCACCTTCTCTCTATGTTAGTGTTACATTCAACTTCCCTTCTCTTTTGTCCTTCACTGTAGATTGGAAGATTGTTATGAAACGATAGATCACGTGTGTGAGAGAAGAGCCACATTTGTGTAGAAGAGGCCTGAAGAATATAGCCTTTGTGCTGTCCTCTGTTATATCCTCCTCTGCCCACAGTGGGTGAAGGAGCTGTAATATAGTGTTTAGCTCTGCAAAAGAACAGAATCAGACTGGTTGATTCCCTATTTTTTCTGCAGTTCTCTGGGCTCTGTTTCTTCATTTCCACCCATTCAGTGCTCAGAGGACTAGGATGGGGGGGAAGAGGACTCAGAGATGCCTCATCTCTGGAATTGCTCAAGGCCAGGCTGGGTGGGGCTGTGAGCAACCTGATCTAGTGGAAGATGTCCCTGCCCATAGCAGGGGGATTGGAACTAGGGAACAGATCTTTAAGGTCCCTTCCAACCAAAACCATTCTATCATAAGATGGTTTTTAGTGGAGTGAGAATGAAGAAATAGTTTTGTCCCACCAGTGGTCACTGGGCAGTGGAGAGCTGAGTGATGTTTTACCTGCCTGGCTGTGTGGCTGCACGTGCAATCACCCTGGGCTGTGGTCACCCCACTCCAAAACTAAATGCAGGGCTAAATGCAGAAAGGGATTAATTTCTTTATAAACTACAGCTAGCCTGTGAGCAGGGGCAAATCCCAGTCTGCAACAGAAGTAGTCCTGTTGGTGCTATTGATTATGATTGAAGGATGTTATTGTGACTGCACTCGTATGCTGTCGTCTTTGTTTTCCAAGGCATTTATCAAGGGGCAGCTCTAACAGGAGTTGTTTTTTTTTCCTTCCTAGCATCCTGCCTTCCTTATATCCCAGAAAAAGGGACAGTTGGAGCCAGTGGAGACTTGGCCCCCCTCTCTCATCTTGCTCTGGGATTAATTGGAGAGGGAAAGATGTGGTCCCCAAAGAGTGGCTGGGCTGATGCTAAATATGTAAGATTCATGTGGCTGATTGCTTTTTCTTCTACCTGCTGGCTCATTTGCCAAATTGTGTGCAGCCTTGAGAGAAAGAGAGCTTTTCCTCAGATTAATAGAATGTAAAAGACTTTGGGTTTTTTGTACCAGTCTGAACTGGGACTAAGGTGCCTTTAGCAACTCATCCTCCACCTTGAGGAAGGTGGATCCGTGAGAATGGAATATCTGACGCACACATCAGTGGAGCAGATATGAATATGCAGCATGTTATTAAGTCCTAAAGAAATACCATGCCACAGTATTGCAATACAAGATAGCGTAGTGATGTAATTTAGGATCTGGAGAGAGGGACAAAATACAGTACCAGCTATGAAAGAATAATTACTACATTGTGAGCTCCATGAACATCAACACTGCTCCAATAAACCCAGGATCACCTCTCAAAATTCAAACCTTGAAATGCTGAAAGTAACTGGAATTTATGTGAGGCAGGAACTTATCAGTAAAGTTTCTACTGATTTTATAATGCTTTAAGTGAATACACAGGTTTGGACATTTCATTTATGAGGAATTAACTAGGGTTACAAGAAACATTTATAGCATTCTCTTTTACAAGATGGAAGCTTTACAGTGGAATTCATTTTTAATTAATTGTTAACTGCCCACTAATACGTCAGTAGATTGATCTAGCTTTGAGTATCTCCAAGTCTGGCTCCCTCCAAAGTTTTTATGGTAGTTTGTTCTGCTACATCTATCACTCCTATCCATGAACACTTGAACACCAGAACACTGGATTTATTCATGGATTTGATAGCTGTACCATCACTGTAGGCTGGAGAAGTACTGAGAACTACACAGGGAGAACTACACACGGAGAGGAGTAAGAAGGAAGCAGGCTAGTGTGTCCTGGGCCTTCAGGACCAGAAGTTACAGCTGTACACCTCTGAGATGTGTTATGTCTTCAGTTGGAAAGGTTGAGAGGACTCTAATCAGAATCAAGACTATACCATTCCTCCATTTCCCACAAGAGTGATTGCTCTATGGGATAAACTTGTATAGAATAAACTGAGTAGGACTTCTGTCATTGGAGATCTTCTATAGAAAGGATTAGGGAATAATTTATAAAGGAATAGTTTATGCCAAGACAAATGTGTTATGAGGCAAGGTGTAGGCAGAACTACCTTCCCAAGGTGTTTCCAGCCTTCTGTCCAATTACTCTCTTCCATCATCTAACATGGTAGATGTTAATGGGCTGTGACAGTGTCTTGCTTCACTGCTCCTACTGCCTTCTTCTGCTGGCACTGGAAAATGAGGTGCTAGTTTAAAAGCCAAAAAATGCTGTTCTTTATTTAGCCCAGCAGAAAAAACATATTTTAAATGTTTGTGATAGAAAAGTCTTTTTCACCTATTGCTTAAGGGATTTGTTAATATTTTTATTTATGGAAACATTTAAGATTTAAAAGTTTTTTGGTGACTGAATTACTGAAAACTTCTTTTATTAATTACCTTGTCATTAAACTTTCACAGGTCCTGGAAGCCCATGGTCTGAGACCAATTACCTTGAAACCCAAAGAGGTAATAAAGTATAACGAAGCCAGCTGATGGAAAACAAGCATACATAGTCAATCACTATACTTACAATTTAAGCATGAAATGATTTAATGGTAATTTTAAATCAAGCTCCAGAAGGATATTAATGAAATATTACCAGGAGTGGAATTCACCTCTCCTAGTGTCACTCGACTTGACTTGAAATGACAGACCCAGGCTTGATGTTCAGATTGACTCTGTAGTTGGTGGACACAGGCATCTCCAGAAAACACATTATATCATCCTGAAACAGCTGTCTAAGAAGCCTTCTCAACATACCTATCTGCCCTGTGATCATAACAGGAGCTGACTTGAACTAGGTATTTGACTTCTAGATCATTAAAACTAGGTGGGATGATTCTCACTCTGAGTATTAGTTTACATGAGAACACAACAGGTTTGAGGGCTGTGAACCTCTTTGATAATGGACCTCAGTAGCTGTAAAACAGCACCAGGAGCAAGAAGCCAAACCCAGTGTCTCCTAAAGGCAAATGGAAGGCTCCCATGGGCCTCATGTTTGTTTGGAACAAATCTTTTAAAGCAGTTATAACTTCTAATGCTCTTTTAATATACCTTTTCCTCACTATGATTAGGTTTTGCACCACCCATGCTCATAACTTTGGGGGTTTAATAATTTAAGAAGAAATTAATAAAAATAGCATTCCACTTCCAAATGACTGGAAAAGAATAAATATTTTCTGTGCTTTTATTGCTTGAAATAAACTTGAAATAACATTAAATAAACCTCTTGCTTGAAACTGCTGGAGCTCCAACGGTGTCTGTAGTGACTTAGTAGTCACAAGCATTTACAATTTAGGTAGCAAGGTACTAGGTCAAGCTGTACATTTTATGATTTCAGGACAAACCAGGAAGCTGAGCAAAGGTCCTTAACTCATTCATATGAGACAGAGAATTGTCACAGGGATGGGGGATTATCACAGCATTGGAATAGCTGCAGTGAATTTGCTTAACGTCTGCCCTCTCTTTGAAGGGTCTGGCTCTCATCAATGGGACACAAATGATCACCTCACTGGGATGCGAAGCGGTTGAAAGAGCTGGTGCTATAGCTAGACAAGCTGACATAGTTGCTGCCCTTACACTTGAAGTCTTGAAGGGTACAACAAGGGCCTTTGACACTGGTGGGTACCAAGCCTTTCCTGTCCACTTAACAGCTGTTGGCAAGAGAAACAAAACCTAACAGTCTAACTTGTTTTACTTAGATATCCATGCAGTGCGCCCACATCGAGGGCAGGCTGAAGTGGCATTTCGATTCAGGTCCCTTTTAGATTCTGACCATCATCCATCAGAAATAGCAGGTGAACAATCTTAACCTTCACCCTCTCAGGACTGGCTGGTTTCTTCAACAGTAGCCTGTACGCTTTTGTATGAGGAATATTTGGATTTTCCTCCTTTGTTTCCTTCTAGAGAGCCATAGATTCTGTGACAGAGTTCAGGACGCATACACGATGCGTTGCTGCCCTCAGGTAAAAACTTACTTTTTTTTCCTTTCATAGCAATAGATAAACGATGGTGAAGTTCCCACCTCAGAAATACGGTCAATTATGTGCTGTCTGATTCCATTAGAGGTTTTATTTTGCATTTCCCTCAATTCAAATTTACTATTAATGGAAATGTAATTCATCAGTCCCATGCACACACCCACTGGGCAGCATCTAACAAAGCTGCGTTCAGATCTGAAAGAGGCCAAGGTGTCAGAAGCAGAGGGAAGGTGCTGGTTTCTGTACCTGCAGGCTTTGCAGGTCATTTTTTCTGCACTGATGCTAAGACCATGAACTGGGGAAAGGTGGTTCCAGTAGCAGCCAGAGTGCAGTATCTATCTCTAACATACTGCAAAATCTTGATCTCATGGGTTTTAGCATGAGTAAAGCTATTAAATCAGTGAACTTAATGGAAGTTAATTTATTAATTAGAGGTTTTGTTTCCTGTGGGGGATTTATGAGGCTTCTTCTCCCCTAATAACACTTCTACCTATTTTCCATTTAGGGTAAACCAACCCAGACAAGTAAAGAATTACATATTCAGGTTACCCTTTTGTCAAAACTGTCATAATAATAGTAAATATAATCTTCTGGGTGTCTAGGACAGGCAGTGATATTCCTTATTTTAAGAGCAAATCCAGGACCATCTTCATGTATGGATTTAGAGACTGTGAAGATGGGAAAGAGGGTACCTGCAGTTCAGTCAGCATCCTGAAGATGAACTAAGTGTGGATACTAAGATAAGATGTTAATGTCTTTTGTTCTAGGTGCATGGAGTTGTAAATGATACAATTGCTTTTGTGAAGGATATCATGATGACTGAAATCAATAGTGCCACAGACAACCCTGTATCCTTTTGATGACCTTATTACTATGTAAAATTTTATTTTGCTTTTTTTATCCATTTCTTCTGTATAATTATTTGCGTTGGAGGAAAAAAACATTGTAACTGGCTTAGTCAAGAACTACCATTGGCTGCAACAGCAACTTCTCTTTCTTTCTCCGTGTCTGCATTGGTGCATGCAAGTGTGTGTTGGGGTAAGGAAACAACGTGTGCATGTGGTTTAGTGCATGTTAAATGTTTCCTAGATTAGATTTTAGATGTCTTTATTGACTATGTAGCTAGATGGGACTTGGCAACCAAATGGATATGGACAGATTGTGACTTGTCATATGAAACATCTGTTGATGCAGCATGAGTGAAACCTTTACTAAACTGCACTCTGGGAAGGCAGACGAAAGACGTGGCTGGTAAGCCGCATTGTGGCTCAGTGTCATAAACTCTGTGTACAGTTCTTGCACTGGCACTGAGCAAGGCTGGATTCCCCTCAGTAGTATAACGATCCTATACATAACATCATATCAATTGCTAATAAGCATTATTGCTTGTAACCTATCTAAAATTATATCTGGCATGGAGAGAATCTACCAGGGAACTAAGAAACTGTGTTAGAATTCAAAAACATGTTTCTTTGCAACCCTTCCACTCTTGATCAAAGACATCATTTTATGTAGTCTATTTGGAAAAATAGATGTCAAAATTTTATCTGTAACTTTGGAGAACTGAGATTGGGGCTTCATTTTCTGAAAGGTGAACATGCAGATGTAGTATAATGTGCTTGCAAATAGAAACCTGTTAGCAAAAACGTTCCTTCAGTTAAGATACTCTGGTTAGTGATAGATCTCTGGCATGTAAACTGTATTTTCGGTCATGTTTGTGCCTTAACTTCTCCTTAAAGATGGTGTTTGCTGAGAGAGCAGAGACCATTTCTGGAGGAAATTTTCATGGTGAATATCCTGGAAAGGTAACTAAACATTTGGAGGAAAAAAAAAAACAACCCTTTCTGTTTTTTCTGTTATTATTATTATTATTTGTTTGGTTTTCATGTCATCTGGTGTAGTGAGATCTTCTTTTATAGGCTCTGGACTATTTGGCAATTGGTGTGCATGAACTCGCTGCAATTAGTGAAAGAAGAATTGAGAGGCTCTGCAACCCCTCACTCAGTGAACTGCCTGCATTTTTAGTCACTGAAGGAGGTCTGAACTCTGGCTTCATGATAGCACACTGCACAGCAGCTGCCCTGGGTAAGTGCTTGAGCAATATCACCGAGAGAAAGCTAGAAAGACCATTTATATCAAGGCAGTTGTAATTTGATAGTAGATACAAAGGCATCTCACTCCTGTTTTCCATCTCTGTGTGCGGGGTGCAAAGTTTGAGTCGAGTGCAGTTGCAACTATTTTAGCTCAGGATTCCTTATTCTGCACTGACCCGTGGACAAGTTTAGTTGTCTGAGCATGCAAACCCTTAGGTGGACTTTGGTGAGAATGCTTGCCTGGTTGCATCTTCATGGGATTGGCAGGGAGTGTTCTCATTTACAGTCGCCAGCATAAGAGCCCTGGGATATTACAGTTCACAGGTTCAGGAAAGCACGAGCCAATATAAACATGCTGTGAGTATAGAGGGTACATTATAAGAGATGCAAATAGACAAAGGAACAGAACACGTCAGATAAATGTGTACATAAACATCTTGCAGGAAAAAAAGGTCAGTGAACTAAATCAATGTGATAAAGGAACCCTGCCTAGAGGCTGTTTTGGGAAGTGGGGCTGGAAAAGGAGTTGAAGTGCTTGTCCCCATGTTTGAAGGATGGAAACTTCTCCTTTTTGCTAGGCAGAGTTTAGGTTGGCTCCAGGCGTTAGCTGTTGCTTGGCTTCAGGTTTTGCAGCTCACTTCTGCAATCTGGAGTGAGAGATCCTGGGGTGCTTATGGTCTTTTCTGTGGGGAATGAAAATGACTGCCCTGCCTCTTAACTCATCACTGAGCTGACACCAGGACTCCATGGGTTAGAAAAGATATAGAATCATAAAATCATAGAATAGTTAGGGTTGGAAAGGACCTTAAGATCATCTAGTTCCAACCCCCTTGCCATGAGCAGGGACACCACACACTAAACTATGTTGCCCAAGGCTCTGTCCAGCCTGGCCTTGAACATCTCCAGGGTTGGGGCATTCACAACTTCCTTGGACAACCTATTCCAGTGCCTCACCACCCTCACTGTGAAGAACTTCTTCCTTATATCTAACCTAAAGTTCCCCTGTTTAAGTTTAAACCCATTACCCCTTGTCCTACCACTACAGTCCCTAATGAAGAGTCCCTCCCCAGCATCCTTGTAGGCCCCCTTCAGATACTGGAAGGCTGCTATAAGGTCTCCATGCAGCCTTCTCTTTTCCAGGCTGAACAGCCCCAACTTTCTCAGCCTGTCTTCATA